CTCCCTCCCTCCCCCCCTTCCCCTCTCAGAACTTACATTTTTCAGCATCCATATGCCAAAGATCATGATACAGGCGATGAAGCAGAGGAAGGCCAGCGACATGAGCGCCGTGAGGGTCATCACCACCTGCAGCAAGCTCTCCATGCTGCTTCCGGTCTGCCTCACCTCCTCACCGGCCGCTACACAACCACAACCACAACCTCCACTTTCACCTACACCTTTACCAACACCAAAGCCGCAACCACCACCACCACTAGAAGCAGCACCAGCACCTCCACAACCACCTCCAAAACCACCACCACCACCTTCACCTTCACCAGCACCACAACCACCACCACCACTACCACCAGTGCCAGTAGCAGAAGCCCCGCAGTTCCTCTTGGTCGAAACAATCCTCTGAACGGGCGTGCGTCCCAGAAAAGCGTCCCACGCCGTGCAAGCCAGGAGAAGCGCCAGAACAGCACCGTCCAGCACAATCATAATACCAGCACGGCTTGGCAGTGCGCGCGCACCGCGGCCTCGGGCAGACGTTCCTGGGAGCTGGTCTGAGTGGCTGAGGGAGACACCATCACCACCACCTCGCCCTCCCCGCCCCGCACGGGGGAAGCAAAAGTCTGGACAGACAGTCTCAGAGACACCATGATGAGTGACTAAACTGTCATCAGACTCCAGGACTGCAAACACGTCCTTGCTTCACACTCTAGGGTCTTCTAGATTCCTTCTTGGAAATAAACCACAAACATAAACATCCACACTCGTTTCCCTTTAGAAATTTTCGTATCCGTTCTTGGAAATAATCACAGCAAGATAAACACGTCCCTACTCTTTACGTAAACGCTTTGTAAATCAAAGATATACACGTCCCTACTCTTTACGCTTTGTAAATCAAAGATATACACGCCCCTACTCTTTACGTATACGCTGTGTAAATCAAAGATATACACGTCCCTACTCTTTACGCTGTGTAAATCAAAGATATACACGACCCTACTCTTTACGTAAACGCTTTGTAAATCAAAGATATACACGTCCCTACTCTTTACGCTTTGTAAATCAAAGATATACACGCCCCTACTCTTTACGTATACGCTGTGTAAATCAAAGATATACACGTCCCTACTCTTTACGCTGTGTAAATCAAAGATATACACGACCCTACTCTTTACGTAAACGCTTTGTAAATCAAAGATATACACGCCCCTACTCTTTACGCTTTGTAAATCAAAGATATACACGACCCTACTCTTTACGTAAACGCTTTGTAAATCAAAGGATCCTTTGAAATCGTCACAGAAATAAGTCTGCACACGCGATTTGGAATTTTGGTGAGGGTAGGAGAGATTTCTCCGCCACCAGCAATAGAGCGCCATGCGGGTATACAACAACTCGCACACGGGATTTGTGGAAACTGTCAGTTACACGGGTACTGTGAGAACTGCCGACACATTTACTGCAAGCGCCCACACGCGCACACACACACACACACACACACACACACACACACACACAGAGAGACACACACAAACACACACACAGACACACACACACACACACACATAACACACACACACACACACACACACACATACATACACTCACGTACGATCTGACTCA